CTGTGTAGTTGTGTGTCTGTGTAGTTGTGTGTCTGTGTATCTGTGTAGTTGTGTATCTGTGTAGTTGTGTACCTGTGTAGTTGTGTACCTGTGTAGTTGTGTACCTGTGTAGTTGTGTACCTGTGTAGTTGTGTACCTGTGTAGTTGTGTGTCTGTGTATTTGTGTAGTTGTGTAGTCGTGCACTGCAGTCCAGCAGCACACGTGATCGCTGTGGGAACCTGAACGTCCTCCTCGGTGCTGATCTGCTCTCATCAGGAGCTTCAGCGGCGCCTCTGAATGAGCCCCACTCGGCAGCAGAAGTAACTAATTACTTTTGCTGCTGAGTAATTAGTAGTGTAATTACTCCCCCAGCACGGCAGCTACCTGGAACCTCTGTGATGAATTAGACATCAGACTTTAATCTCCACATCAGGATTTCAGTTTGGCTGAAACCATTTTGGGAGGAACTGTCGAGAAAACAGGTCACTGAGGCGCTGAGTGGGTCGGGTCGGGTCTGGACTGAACAACAGGTTGCTGTTTCCCTGTCAGGCCTGAACATTAACCCTCTCAGCCCCAAAACCTGAAAGGAAGTCATTTTTAAAAGAAACCAACAAAGTGTCTCTGCAGACGTCTCTGGATCTGGATCTTCACGTCTCTGACCTGCAGCCGCTGGCCTCACCGAGCCCCAGAATCCTTAGATCCATATGTGTTGTTCTGTTCTGCTGCTGCTCTCCATCTGCTGTCCTGCTATCTCCCCCCATCTCCACTCTCACCCAACCGGTCCAGGCAGATGGCCTCCTTCCCTGAGCCTGGTTCTGCAGGAGGTTTTATCCTCCCTTGGGGGGTTCTGGTTCCTTCCCATCCTTGCTCAGAGGGAGTCCAAAGGCTGCTCTGGATTGTTGGGTTCTCTGTTTAAATCCTAGGCTCTCTAGCTGACTGTGTTCAGGCTGTGAGATGACGTCTGTAGTGAACTGCACATATAAAACTGAACTGAAACACAAGCCCACAGTGGAGAACAATGCAGGAGGAGCACAACACGCCCAGAACCTCCCGGCTCCAAAGGGTTAACAAGCCAACACCAGCTGCATCATTTCCTTAAGTGGAGCAGAAGCTGAGTTTGTCACACGTTAGCTTCAAACATTGAGTTTCATGTGTTTCCGTGTTGTCGCAGCCACACGAGGACACGAGTCCTGAACGCACAGAGCCGAGACGCAGGAACACGGACCTGTGTTGAGTTCTAATTAGAACGTTCCACTTTGGCTGAGCAACAGCTTCATAGCCAGAGTTCAAAGAGCTGCCACAGAAACGGATCACACGGCGGAGACGGAGCTGCCATGTGAAAGACTCAGAAGAAGAGAGACTGAAGGAGCCAGAAAGGAAAAAGACAAAAGCTCGATGAAGCACCAGCGAGGCGGCGGAGGGGAGTTTACCGCCGGTCAGAGTGTTGAAACAGAAAACAGAAGGAGGACGCGGTGTTCTGGTGTGTGACAAAAGGCCCGCCTAATGCACACTGACTGCCAAGCGGAAAGAATGCTAAATCCCCAGAAAGAGGGGACGGCAGGTAGAAGCTCAGAGAACAAGGGAGAAACAGAGTGTGAGGAATGGAAGTGAAGGTGGAGCCCGGTGCCCCTCTGGCTCAGATCAAAGTGGCCGACACGCTCGGTCCGTTTACTGGGTTTGGGTCGAGCCGCGGCAGAGGAAACCCACCCTCTCCTCCTTCCCCCAACGGTCACAGTGTTGTATGACTGAGAGGAATCTGAAGGCATTTCACCTCCTTCCAATCAATTCCTGGCCGCTGACAGCTTCAGACAAACGAGCACAGACCTGACAAACAGCAGCTTAATGAGCACATCCTCAACTCCAGTCTTTCCATTAGTGGTTTCAAAATATGGAAAAATAAAAGTGGATCAGTGTTTCCCAAAGCCAGAGAGGATGTGATCAGGAGGAAAGAACGCAACTCTTCTATAGAACAAACTGGAATCAAAGAATTTGGGCTTTTTTTCCAGAAGATAAATCCCTCACACCGATTATCAGGGTAGGGTTAGAGTTAGCTCCTCCCCTCACAGAGCATGTTTTCTGCTCGATGTCCGTCTGAGCATCACAACACATGCAGACTTGGACTTTCCTTCAGGAGCTGAGTGAACTCTGTCACAGCTGTGTTCCTGAGATGTTCTGCGTTTAGATCCAGCACTTTTTAAACATCTTCCTGGAAACAGAACAGACTTTTGCCTAAAAGCACATTTTCTACTTTTGTTGTTTTTTTTTCTACTAGATGTGAAACTGGACCTTCACAGTGTTCTGCTGTCACAGGAGCTCGGCTGAAAGACGTCATGATGAATGACTTCAAATGGCTGAAAGCTCAGTAACTCAGCCAGTGAAGCTGAGCCAGCAGAGATTCTGAAATGTTCGTTCTGATTGGCCCGTGTGCCTGCAGTGTGGCCAGGTGGAGTCCATCACGATGGAGAACCTGCAGCTCAGACACAGCTTCATGTGTTTGCTCCACTTCTCCAACAGATCAGTCAACGTGCAGCTCTGCAGCGTTGGCAGGAAACAAACACACGCCACCCCGTTTCCTGCCTCATGTCTGGCAGCCAAGTTGCTCAACAGAGGCAATGCGGCAACTGGTGCCTCACCCCCCCCCAGCCCTGTTTATGGCACTGCGCCGTGGATGTGATTAGAAAACACCGAAGAGCAGCAACAAAGGGCAGCAGAGGTTTAATCTCACATTAGAGATGAGCAGGAGGTGCATGAACAGCATCAGCAGTAATCCTCTGCTCATACCTGAGCTGCCCCACGTCCACCACAACTTGTGGCGTCCTGCCGCCTCCATGATCTGCTCGAGTCTGTGCCAGAATGCATCGGACGGAAAACAAGGAGGAGAGGAGGACTGAGAGGAGGGCAATGGTGGGAGGTGGAGGAGGTGGAGGAGGCTGGGTGGGGGCAGGGCAGCCTTTCATCACATAAGGAAGAAAACAGAGCAGCAGCAGCAGCAGCAGCAGCTGGAGGAGCTGAATGAGGCTTTCTGCTTCACATTTCCCGCCACATCCATCCTCCGTTCACTCGCCTCGTCCTCCTCCACCCTCCACCCTCCACCCCGGCAGGCTGAATGTGTGATGAGTGTTGTGTTGCGCAGGATGGCAGGGTGTGGCGCCGCTCACTGGACCCTCTCTCAGCACCTCCAGCTTCATGGTGCTGAGACGAGGAGGATGGACGGATGACTGCTCCTCCAGCGCTCACCGCCAGTCCACAGGAACCACAGAACACGTTCAACACACAGGAGAACACTGACATCCCACTTTCAGGATCAGTCGTGTGTCAGAACGGTTCTATGACGACCAGAACCATCCTCCTGGGCTGGGGGACGGTCTGAATGTAAACTTGCACCCACATGACTAACGTTAGGATGAGACCTGAGACCAGAACAGAACTCAGTGACGCCTCACAGCTACATCCAGCCGCCTCCTGCACCTCCTTCTGGACCCATATCTGGACCCATGTCTGGACCCATATCTGGACCCATGTCTGGACCCATGTCTGGACCCATATCTGGATCTGTGCTGAAGCCCGTCTCTGGTTCGCTCCCTACAAGGAGCACATCACACTCTGATAAGTTGAAGACTATTGGTCCCCGAGCTCCAGCAGAGAGCTGGGCCGGACCAGAACCCTCCCACCGCCCTGCGCTCTCACAGGACAGAACAACAGCAGACTTGTTACTAAAGCAGCACATTACGGCATGTTTCCGGCCAGAACCGGACAACTGGAGGCACAAAGTTGGTCTCAGAGCCTTAACTGATTTTGTGACTTTAACGGCTCGGTTCCTCCGCCGCAAGAAGTCCGGTCGTTATGTAAGAAAGAGAAGAGAAGAGAAGAGAAGAGAAGAGAAGAGAAGAGAAGAGAAGAGGAGGAAGGAAGCAGCTCCTGCCTGACAGCTCATGAACCCAGAACCATGTGAAACACGGAAGCAGCCAGAACCCGTCCGCCATGTGACCCGCCATCAGCGACCACTTGTTTGAACGGTTCAACTCTGAAAATGTCTGAAGGAGCAGCAAAGAGCAGCTGATACTCACTCCTCGTCCCATGGCCGCCGGTCGGTTCTGCCCGCTTCAGTAGAACCACAGAAGCTGAAGTCCACCTCAGTAAAAACGGTCTAGAACAGAGTCGCGGTCCGGTTCTGGTGCTTCTGGGATGTTTTCTGGTATTTTTATTTTTTCATCGGCAGCACGTGTCACTCCTCCGGAACACACATCCGAGCTCGCGAGCCTCCGCTCAGACCTCCCATACTTATAGACGGCGTTCTTCCTTTGTGACGTCACGGCCCTTTGCCATGGCAACCCCACGGATGGAGGCGGGGCTTCCTCCGTTATTGGGCGTTTTTCTTTTTTTTCCCTTTCTTTTTTTTTTGCCATGCAACACACACACACACTCACACACACACTTACACACACACTTACACACACACACACACACACACTCACACACACACTTACACACACACACACACACTTACACACACACACAAACACACACACACTCACACACACACACATACACACACACACACACTCACACACACACACACTCACTCACTCACTCACACACACACACACACACACACTCTCTTTCTCTCCATCAGGCACTACAGATACTAGTCCAAATCAATGATCAATAATTATTGCAATCAAACAGTGAACGCAGCAGATGCTCATGTGTCTCCACCCTGCTGCCCCTGTGCTGCCCCTGTATTGCCCCTGTGCTCCCCCTGTGCTGCCCCTGTATTGCCCCTGTGCTCCCCCTGTGCTGCCCCTGTACTGCCCCTGTGCTGCCCCTGTGCTGCCCCTGTATTGCCCCTGTGCTGCCCCTGTGCTGCCCCTGTATTGCCCCTGTACTGCCCCTGTGCTGCCCCTGTGCTGGGGGGTCAGTCTGAGGCACCGTGTGGACTCTTTGAAGAATTACCAGTTATTTAGCTTTGAACAAAACTGGATGAGCGTCCAGATGTCACGTCTAAAACTCATCATGTTGTGTTGAATCCAGACAGTGAAACGCTGCTCTGACTCTATGAACCAATGAGGTGCTGCTCTGACTCTATGAACCA